CCGTTTATTACTTGGGGACCATACGCCGCTTTTCATGGAATGGCACGAAAGTGTCACATTGAAGGTTCAATGATAACCGCCGTATGAACACATCTGCAGATGTTTCTAAATTTAAAATTTTACTATTTCACGTTTAAATTTTGAATTCTGCTTAAGCCGGTGCTAGGGGCCGTGGACGATAACTTGCACTTTCCAGTACCGTCCATGAATAAGCTCAATCAAACCGAGCCTGCAACATTTTCAATTTTGCCGTGTTGGGCTTTCTTTAGGGATTCTGTATTTATCTATTTTATGATCACAGCCGTGTTATTTGTGCCGTGTGGCGGCTGTAAAAAGTCTCCCCGTACATTTAATCAATGATGTTATATTTTCGATTCTTGAAGATCGTTCAGCCCGACACTTTTGTTGTGCTTGTGGTATTTTTAGTTTCAACTTTTCGTCATTTTCTAGTTGGGTGGTTCCAATATTCCTTCTTGATAATGTTGAATCACCCTAAGGATATGTTGCCTACTTTTTAAATTTGTCTTTTGACGTCTTATCTGTGATACGCAGGCTTCATAACCTCTGATCCCCTTTCAAAATTCCATTTTATTTAGTTCCGCCAATTTTTTTCTCGTTTAGGGCACACGACGTTTATTACTTGGGGACCATACGCCGCTTTTCATGGAATGGTACGGAAGTGTCACATTGAAGGTTCAATGATAACCGCCGTATGAACACATCTGCGGATGTTTCTAAATTCAAAATTTTACTATTTCACGTTTAAATGTTGAATTCTGCTTAAGCCGGTGCTAGAGGGCGTGGATGGTAACTTGCACTTTCCAGTACCGTCCATGAACAGGCTTAATCAAACCGAGCCTGCAACATTTTCAATTTTGCCGTGTTGGGCTTTCTTTAGGGATTCTGTATTTATCTATTTTATGAGTGAAAAAAGGAAATCACATAAACCGTCAGATAAAGATGATTTGTCATAGTACTAAGTTGGTCCAAAGTGAAGTTGACCTATTTTTATATTCAGAAAACCTCCGTTAGTAAAATGATGAACAATTTGCAAAAATACTTCATAGACTATGTACAGGACTTTATAAGCATAAAACTTCAAAATTATAACAAAACTAATTTGTGACGCATTGCTTATACGTATGCATCATTTAATTATTTTATAATATATCTATATTTTTTGGTCACATTGTGCCTTTAATTTTTGAAGGGTATCATTGCAATTTTATTTTCTTCAAAAGTGTCTTTGCTGGCATAAACAACAAATTTTCCTAGGAGAAGCCGTCTTGTTGAAAATATTACACAACAGAAAATATTTACATAGCATTATAACTTGCACAACACATTATATAATAAAAGTATGACGATATCGTGTTCGACTTGTACATGGATGCATATTGCTTCAAGGGAGATTTCTCTGACCTTTTATTTTAGTAACAATAGACTGAAACACAAACATTGGTTAAAAAATATGTGCTTTTTGTTTACAAATGTTAACAAATATGTTACCAATCTGATAATAAGAGGGATCCGTGCGTTACGAATATATTATAGCACAGATCCCTTTTCGGTTCTGTTCTTATAGTTTACGAGAATTAATATCATGGAGTATATATCTAATGTTTTGAAAATTCGAACTAGCTTTATGTATTTATCGTCACATCCACATTACCATAGAAGGTAAAGTGATTACCTAATAAATAAGAGGTCTGCGGTTAGATTCCTACTTTTGACACTGTGTTTTGACCTGTTCTTTCTTTATTATGCCCCCACTTCAAGGAAGAGGGGTTATATTGCTATGCATTTGTCTGTCTGTCGGCCCGTCCGTCGATCCGTAGACTAAATGGTTTCCGAGAGATAACACTTAGGCATAGGAACATCAAACTAAGTAGGATGATTGGTCATGACCAGTAGATGACCTCAATTGCTTTTTGGGTCAAAGGGTTAACGGTCAAGGTCACATTGACCTTGTAAGTAAAAAGAGTTTCCGATCAATAACTTAAGAACGCTTACGCCAAGGAAATTTATACTTAGTATGATGATTGGCCATGACCAGCAGATGACCCCTATTGATTTAAGGATCAAAGGGTCAAAGGTCAAGGTCACATTGACCCTGTAGGGAAAAACGGTTTCCGATCAATAAGTTAATTACGCTTAGGGATAGGAACTTCAATGTAGATATGATGACTGTTCATGACGTGCAGATAATTTTGAGAGGTCAAGGGGTCAAAGGTAACGGTTACATTGACATTGTAGGTAAGAACAGTTTAATATCAATAACTCAAGAACACTTAGGCGTAGGAACTTCAAACTTGATATCATGATTGTTTATGACCTGCAGATGAACCCTATTGATTTTGGGGTCAAGGGATCACAGGTCAAGGTCACATTGACTTTGTAGATAAAAACGGGATCCGATCAATAACTAAAGAACGCTTAGGCCTTTGAACTTCAAACTTTGTATGATGATTGCTCACGAATTGCAGATGACCCCAATTGATTTTGAAGTTCAATTTGACATTGATCTTGTTGTTAAAAGCAATTTTTGATCAATTCTTAAAGGACACTTAGGCCTAGGAACTTTAAACTTATTATGAGTCAATGATGATTGTTCATGACAAGTAAGTGACCCCTATTGATTTTCGGGTTAAGGGATCAAAGGTCAAGGTCACATTGTCCTTGTAGGTAAAACAGTTACTTCTCAATAACTTAAGAACTCCTAGGCCTAGGGCCTTCAATCATGGTCTGATAATCATTCCTGACCAGCAGATGACCCATATTGGATTTTTAGTCAAGGGGTCAATGGTCAAGGTCACATTGACCTTGTAGGTAAAAATAGTTTCCGATCAAAAACTAAAGAACGTTAAGGCCTAGGAACTTCAAACTTGGTATGATGATTTCTTATTATCAGTAAATGACACCTATTGATTTTGGGGTCAAGGGGTCAAAGGTCAAGGCCATATTTATCTTGTTGGTTTAAACTGTTGACGATCAATAACTTGACGACCCATGAGCTGTTGGTCCTCAAACTTCGTAGGTGCATTTAACATGACAACTAGCTGACCCCTATTGATTTTGGGGTCAATGGATCAAAGATCAAAGGTCAAGGTCTTATTAACCTTGTAGGCGAAAATGGTTTCCGATCAATAACTTGACAAGCCCATAGCAACTTGCCCTCAAAATTTGTAGGTGCATTGGTCTTGGCAAGTAGATGACCCCTATTGATTTTGGTGTCAGGTGGTCAGTGTCATAATGACCTTGTACTGAAAAACGGTTTTTGACCAATTACTCAACAACTCAAGTTGCCTTAGTTGATATTTTTATATTAAACTAAAATTCCTTTCGTTTACACATTTGAAGGTCTTATGGAATACAACAACTTGGTTGTCATTAATGAGCCATACATGATTCATAAAATTTATGCATATATTATTTGGTAAGATTAGTAATAACGTTGTCATTAAATTGCTGCACACAACCCATGAGTTCACAATAATTATAACCTAGTGACTAGTCATGACCAGTAGATAACCCTTATTGATTTTTTATGCTCCCCGAAAAATTTCGGGGGAGCATAATTATAGTCATCGGGTTGTCTGTCCGTCCATCCGTCAGTCCGTCCGTACGTACGTACGTCCCGAATTCGTGTGCAGCCCATAACTCAGTTGTTTGAAGTCGGATTTTAAAACTATTTCACAGAAATGATCACCATATTGAGATGACGTGTCGCGCACAAAATTTGGGTCGCTACCTTGAAGGTCAAGGTCACAGCATGACCTTGCAGCAAAATCGTGTCTGGTCCATAACTTCATTATTTGAAGTTGAATTTTAAACCTATTTCACAGAATTGATCACAATATTCAGACGATCTGTCGCGCGCAACATTTGGGTCGCTCCTTTGAAGGTCATGGTCACAGCATGATTTTGCAGCAAAATCGTGTCGAGCCCATATCTTTGTTAATTGAAGTTGGATTATACAAGTATTTCACACAAATGATCACCATAATGAGACGACATGTCGCGCTCAACATTTGGGTCGCTACCCTGAAGGTCAATGTCACAGCATGACATTGCAGCAAAATCGTGTCCGGCCCATAACTTAGTTATTTGAAGTCGGATTTTAAAACTATATCACAGAAATGATCACCATATTGAGATGACGTGTCAGACGCAACATTTGGGTTGCTACCTTGAAGGTCAAGGTCACAGCATGACCTTGCAGCAAAATCGTCCCATAACTTCGTTATTTGAAGTCGGATTTGAAAAAATATTTCACAGGAATGATCACAATATTGAGGCAATGAGTGGCGCGAAACATCTGTGTTGCTGCTTGTGGGTCAAGGTCACAGCATGACCTTGCAGCAAAATCGTATCCAGCCCATATCTTCGTTTTTAGAAGTAGGATTTTACAACTATTTCACAGTAATGATCACCATATTGTGACAATGTGTCGCGCGCAACATTTGGGTTGTTTTTACACTTTGAACATTGTTTGTGACATAACTCTGACACTACAAGAGGTATACCTTCCTGTGTCCAAAACCTATTCGGGGAGCATCACCCGGTTCAACCGGCTCTTGTTTTCCCTAGGTCAAAAGTCATTCATAATAACCTACCTGATCACATGAATTATTGGCTGCCGATATGGGGCAAAAATATCTTACACACATATCTTGTTTTTGAAGTATAACAATTAACACTGCAATGCATTTTAAGTGTATGACTGTAATTGTATGTATACAATTGTATGTTGCATGAAATGAATATCTCGTCAACTATATGTGCATTATACTGTAGATTGAAGCGTTAACCCAACGAATCACATATTTATTATCAATTTATTGTCATCTGCCCAATGGTTTGCTATGCTATGCTTTGCTATGCCGTGCTGTGCTATACTGTGCTATGCTGTGAAAAAGAGTTATATCACACTTGAAAGTCCCTTGGTTACCTTCAAACCAAAGATGACCTAAGATGAAAAATAAATTGGAACAAAATGATTGAAAAAATGAGGTTTTATTTCTCTAAGCATATTTAACAAGCATAAAAGTAAATAAATAGATATTTGAGTTTTAATTTGTATACAATGACATGATTAAAATGTCCATCATATTACATTACAAAGATATTGTCAAATTTATAAATATGTTTTCATTCAGACTGAGCTGTTTCGAAAATGCTATAATGGGAAGTGAGGAACTGGATAAAGATCTGTTTACGAATTGGGTGCGAGGCGCAAAAGGACTAGAATACTTACAGGAAGGTCTTCAAGAATTTGTTGGAGAAAAAGTACTGCAATGCCGTGATAATACCCTTCAAAACATAAAATCAACATTGCCATCTGGATCACCACAACAATGCAACCAGTGTACAGAAAATAATCTTTCTCCAGAACATTTCAACTCTACGAAGGCATGTAACAGATGGACATGTAGCCAAAAGACCTCGAACAACTGTTTTGGAAGCAAACCAGTCGGACGTAGGAAATGTCCTGCAAATGGCATTTGCAGTAAATTTTACGACGCAATTATAGATGAGCATGCATTTAAAGACCCTTTATGGAAGAACACAAACCCAAGTACGTGGTGTTCGGATCCTCATGGGTGGAGTTATGCAAAATGTTTCCAAACAACTAAAGGTCCAGGGACATCAGCTCAAGATACAGATGCCGCTGGTCTGCTGAGCATCATTATAAACAACAAGTCAATACAAAACTTTGTGACAGGAATTAATCCACATACCAAGAGTTCGTTTCATACGGTATGTACAGGAAACGGTTTAGTGATTTATAAATGATGTTTATATTCATCAATATACTAAATTAATAACTGAATAGATCTAGACTTACTTGTTAAAAAATTAATTTTGCCATTTTTATTTTTTTCTGCTCAAGGTTAAGGAATACTTGTTTTAATGATTTGTTATAGATTTTGATATACATGTTATACATAAGAATAAAAAAGTAGTGGGAATTAGTTGTTATGATTTCCTCTTCTTAACAAATGTATATATTTTAAAAATTATTTCAGGCGCGAGACATCCGAAATGAAATCTTACATAGCTCAAAGCTTGAAATCGACGAAACAACTGTGTGTTCCTATTTGGACGCATTTATTGTTGTTCTTCAAGATCCAAAGTGTCTGATTAATGAAGAGGCGTCAAAGGAAGCAGTTCATAAACTAACACAGGTAATCACTTATATATTACAATATGAGTGTGACTTATTAATGTAATATATGAGTATCTGCTTTCAAGACTAGTGCTCGTTGACCTTTTAAAAGGTTGACATCCGACTGTCTTTTAGCTTATTTTGTATATTAATTTTAATTTTAAATGAGGACTGAATTGCAAAAGATAAGGGAAACATTACATACATAAAATTAAGTTTATGTCAATAAATGATTACTTTTTTATACTCGATACTTGGTGTTACATGTAAATCTGTTTCAATATGATCGAACATTTTAATACAAACTTGTTAATGAAGGAACAAAAAAGCAAGTTATAAAGAAATCATAATGATGGGTAAAGGTCACTGTTGCTAAAAATAGAAAAAATGCAAAAAAAGGTCTCCGGCTGATAACAATAGTTAGGACTGAGACATCATTATTAAACAAAGAACATAGCTTTTTATTTAGAATACGACTAGTAAATGTTTGCTATTTGGCTATGTGTGGTCAAGGGCACTGTTACTAAAAACAGAAACAAAATGTTTCTGCATGATAACTTTTAATGAGATATTGTAATAAAAAACTAATTGTATAGCTAGCAGTTTGTGTATTTATAAGATACTATGGACTATCGAAGTTGAATTATATTTGGAAGCATATAATTTTGTACCATTCATCCTATCGTCCGCCCCGCTGTCCGAATATTGTCCGGTCCATAACTTTGTCATTTATGGATAGTATTAAAATAACTTTTTATAAATGTGTAGCATATCGGAACAATGTGTCACATGGATCCGAAACTTATAGATCAATGTCGCACTCTATTTTCAAACGAAATATTACATAAAATGCAATAAATTTCGTGTTGTGTCAACATAGTTGGTGGATAGATTTAACATTTATTATGCAAATGTGTTGGATATGTTGGACATAGTAATGACGACTTGTCGCGCGCAAGAATTGGGTCCTTACATCAAAGATCAAAGTTACACATGTAGATCAAAAGTAAAGATATAAGTTTTTGTAAAAGTGATGTTCATTTCCGGTCAATAATTGTGTCATTCCTGGATGGATTTACCAATTATGATGAAGAAATATGTTGATTATATTGCCAGCGTGTCACGAGCATGTATCAGCTCCCTATCACAAAGGTCAAGGTCAAACTTGTATTCCGAAGTCATTATACATATTGATGAGATGATGATGATCTGCACATATAATGTTAAAAAAACAAGGTCACACATGTATGTCAAACTTGACGATTGTAAAAAGACCTTAAAGGTCACACATGTATGTAAAACTTGACGATTGTAAATAGACCTTTTATGCACAGCTTTGTCATTCAGGTTTGGACTTTAAAGCAACACGCCTTCAGATACATGCTAATTTGCATGACAACTTTGAAAATGTATTTGAATGTGTAATATTGTGAAGTAAACGAAAGAAAGTAACTTACACATTGTTAAAGGAACTCATAGACCACGTAAATTACCCAAAAAGTGGTCGAATTATGCATAAATAGCCAAAAGTGCGTTTGTAACGCAATAGAAATATAGTTCTAAATACTGAAAAAATCAGACATTAATCGCACTTAATATGTAAAATTTTACTTGAATCTTGAAACTTTTACTTTTCCTTATATCTCTGTACATTTTTTCTCAAGTTTGATCTTATTGAAATACTTTGACACATCTGGAGGCATGTAGCTTTAAAATAATTATGCATAAATATGCTGCTTATTAAAATGATAATGATGATATGTGATGATAAAATTTGGCTAAGCATCCCAAAGGTTAAGTTCATTTCCTGCATGTAAAACTTAACCAAGAAAAAGAGACTTTTTATGCTCACCCGAAACTTAGTAGGTAGATAGATCTTATTGAGTAGGTATACAGTGCACAAGAACCGTTACTCTGTCTTGCCTTATTTTTGAATCATTGCCCGTTGTTTAGTCTTATTACTTTGGGTAGTCTATTATCAAGTTTACTCATATTTATTTGACTGCTCCCTTTTAGGGGCTGCTTAAGCTTAAAATAGAAATACCTTTTAACATCTATTTCTACAGAACTAATACAGAACTAATACAGAACTTACTTTGTCTGTAGCATTCTTAGGTAATTCTTAGGTAATATTTATTCAAGTTTGCTCATATTAATTTGATTGATCCCCTTTAGGGGTCTCCAGAGCTAAAATAGAAAAAAAAAACTTTAAACATCTTCTTCTACAGAACTAATTGATGGATGATCACCACACTTTGTCTGTAGGATTCGTGGGTAGTCTTTTATCATATTTGATCATATTAATTTGATTGCCCCTTTTAGGGGCAACTAAAGCTAAAAATAGAAAAAAATCATTAAAACACCCATTTCTACAGAACTAATTGATTGATGTTCACCAAACTTTGTCTGTAGCATTGTTGGGTAATTTTTTATCAAGTTTGCTCATATTAATTTGATTGGTTTCTTTTATGGGCCGGTAAAGCTAAAAATAGAAAACCCTTTAAACATCTTCTTCTATAGAACTAATTGATGAATGATCACCAAACTTTGTCTGTAGCATTCTTAGGTACTTTGTTATCAAATTTGCTCATATTTATTCGATAAGCGCCTTTTACGGGCAACTAAAGCTAAAAATAGAAAAACCTTTGAACGCCTTTTCCTACTGAAATAATTGATACATGATCACGAAACTTTGTAGCATTCTAAGGAAGTTTTTTTTTTATCAAATTTGCTCATATTAATTTGATTGACCCCGTTTAAAATTAAGCTTATATGCCCCAGGTCATGGCATTTCTTCAAAGTATTGTGTAAAGATATTCTATGCTCAAATTTAATATTAGAAAATATTGACAATGTATAATTTTCAACACTTAAAAGCATTTGTTTCTGGTGAGAGACTCAGGGCTATCATGGCCCTCTTTTTTAATTTTCTGGAGCTATTTTTCAAAGTGTCAAGAGTATATATATATATATACATATAGATAAAATAATAATGTTTAACAAACTCTATGTATATTCGGAAGAGCTTTCAGTGCTTTCTTCACATATCTTCAGCCGAAACTTTAATAAACAATAAACATATAAACAAATGACGTAATGCGGGAACGTTAAATGATAACGTATTTCCCGGCAAACACAATATGGTTATTTATACTGTAAAATTATAATATAATGGACATTAAGCATAATCCGTACAGTACATTAATATGACATTTATTAAAGGGAGGTAATAAAATTCACAAGTTAATGATTTTATAATAATAATAAAAAAGTTTTTATTTAAAGAGGCTACACAGTTGCAACAAAGGCAATCTATCCTGTGGGCCTCATAAAATGTACATATTTACAATCATATAGTTGTGAATAACATGAAATATTTTTCAGAAACATTAACATAATTATTTTGATATTGCAATAGAAAATGACAATTATATAATAATATAAAGTGCACAAAAAAATATACAGTGAAACAAGGCATAACAAAATTACAAATAAACCTTTGAAAATACAATATAATAATATTTCAACAAGAGCAGTGTTTTTCTTACAATTTTATATTTCATTTGTCTTTTTCCAATTTTCTATGTATTTATGTTTGAAGTTTTGAAGTAATTGTGCAGAGCGTATGCTGATTGGTATTTCATTCCAGATTTTTGACCCTGAATAGTTAAAACTTTTTCTGAAAAATTCTACTTTTAAATTGTATGGTTATTAACAATTTTTACTGAATAAGTATTGGTTAATAAACGAACAATTGGACTGAATAAGATCGCAAACGTTTCTTTCATAATTAAAAATGAAGAGATTGTAATAAATATGATGTACTTATATATAAATACCTTGTTTAACATTTATTACCATTGAGCATTTAGCTGTGATTTTAATAATTTGATTATAAGATTTTCTTTTTCTTCTCTGAAATTGTCACTTTCGTTTAATATTTTATATAGAGGGAAAATGTTAAATTTACCTCCTGAACATTTATGTAAACATATATATGCTCATTCATCATAAATTAAGCTGGCAATTGTTGTTCAATGTCAGTTAGAAAGAAAATGTTCTGAACCCTTTCCGGAAAATACAGTTTTTGCAGCATAATATAACACAAAATATATTTCATGTAACTTCTATAGTAAAAGACAGTGGCATTACATTCAGTGATTAATCTTTATTGAAATATTTTATCCATTTTTAGACGAAACCAGTAATTTAGATTATTTACTTTATTTGTGATAGTTCGATTCAACTAGACACATCAAACTAATTGTGCTGTAAGCAAATAGTTGTTAATTAAATTTAACTAATAGCAAATAGTTGTTAAGTATATTTCACTAACATACGCCTTTCGCATTTCAGTTAAAAAACAACACAATTCACATAAGCCAGGGAGACATGGTGTCACTCCTTGAGAATAGAAGTAAGGCGTTAACTGAACTTGACGAAAAAACAGCAGATGCATTGCGTAAACTTGATGAGAAAACAGCAGAATCATTGCGTAAAATAAACACAGCCGGGAAACAAGTAAAACGGAAGATTAATGATGGTAAATTTGAAATTGCAAAATCTGTGAAAAGGGCTAAAAGCAGTATAATCAGAGCAACAAGAATAGCTTCCTCTGCTGTTCACACCAAGGTTCGTTTTCAACACTATATATTAAAGGGAGACACAGGAAAATTTTTAATTTCTTAGTTTTGAATTTTGCATTAATTATTCTGTAAATGCCCTTAAAATGAATACATTAGACGGTCAAAGGAACAAAACTTTTCTCCATATAAAGAATAAAATGGTGGTTTTCTAACTTGGCCTGTGTAGTTATGTCACAGTGAACTCTGGAAAGAACATGTCAAATGAATGACTTTGACTTGTTCAAATCATACAATATCCACACTATCTGTTATAGTAATTTCAAGGGTTTGTTCAAGTCAAATGACTTGTTTTAAAACTATTCGGTGATTCTTTTTTGCGTCTAAATTTTGTTCAACATATTTAGATATATTTATGTTTCAAACCCAAAAGATATTTATAAAATTTAAACATTTTTTTTTTAATTTAAACATAAATTCATGTTCGGACTTTAAGAAATGTCATTTTAGCGTGATTTGATAACATGAGATCATTTTAATAAATTTTGTCATTTTTACCTGAATATCCCTTTAATTTATTTAACTTATTCAATCAAGAACATTGTCTTTAAATGCCCTTAAAATGAATACATTAGACGGTCATAGGAACAAAACTATTCTCCATATAAAGAATAAAATGGTGGTTTTCTTAGTTGAATAGTTAGACTTTTAATTGTTGTCTTTTTTGGGTTGTTTGGTTGGGGCTTTTTGTTTCCACCAAACCCCAAAGAGTAGGGTAATAGCCTATTTACAGCCTATGGTGGGGAGACCTCAGTCCCCTTCATGCTTATTCGGGCACGAGTGGGCACCTGACTGAGTAAAACCCTTGTCGTTCCGATAGATAGCTTGACACCTTCCTCAAATGAAAGAATGCAAAGCCTCTAGTGGGATTCCAACGTCAAGGGTGATTGGCAAGCATTTTTAGTCAACGACCTTTAAAACCGGCCATCCTTCATTGTTTTCTAACTTCATATAGAAGTACCGATGTAAACTATCTGAAGGCGAAATATCTAGTTTTTTTAATCTTATAATATATATGCGAACTAGATTCACAACTCATTTTGGGGCTTTTACAAAAAATATCATTTTATAAAATCTTGGCATTGATTAATGGCTACGCAACTATGATGGAAATACGGCGTATAGACATCGCCGTTTATCTTCGTTGTCGCCGTTTCTAAGAAACGGACAGTTGTCAATGTAAACAAATAAATGTCATTCAGTTTAACCCTCAAATTAACTTACAAAACAAGATAACACAAAATGAATATGAGAAAATATTGTTTAAATTTATTGATGTTTACATTGATAAATGCTCTTTATATATCTTTAAGAGAATAATTTTAAGTGCCTGATAGTCTTTTATAAACTTGTGAGCTTGAAAAGAAAAACGATTCTGATGTCAACCGTCAATCTAAATAATTCTGGGAATTTCTGAGGGTCATGTTTTGTCTTGGGTAGAATAATTAAATGTGTTTTACTTTCTTGAGTTAATAAATCTCCACTGTTAAGCTTCGTTAAATCAATTAAAATGCGAATTTTTGAACGGTTCTTAGCATTTGAATTTCCATAGTTAGCCCCGGAAAAATAAAACACATTCGTAATATAACATGTAGAATTGGATAAATACCGTCCAAGCACAGGAATTTAATGACCATGAATGTGTTTTGTATTTAATATACATCATGAATCTTAAAAAAAAAGTATGCGATAATAGCGTCAAAGCACGTTTATTTCGTGTTATAAAGTCTGCAGAGTCCCTCGGAACTGTTGGAGCCCTTGCCCTACCGGGCTCTGGCACCAACCGTTCCTCGGGAGTCTGCAGACGTTATAACACGAAAAAACGTGCGTTAACCTTATATAATGTTTCAGAACACAAGTCAATGTCTTGTGACAAGACCATCTTCGGCCAAAATGACATCACATACAATGTATATTAATTCTGTATTGGCCAACTGGGCAATACTGCTTGAGAAATATAGCAGCTCAGGGCATTGTAGTTTCGGAAAAGAACTTAAATAGTTAAATGACCCCAAAATAACGGACGTGACGTCAAATACTTTGTAAGTTATTCTGATAAGACAACAGTCGAAACTAGTGAAGATTAAAGAAATATGTGTTGTTTTGGTGTATTTTAACTGATTTCCCCAAATAGAGACAAATTTTAACTTTGGGGTTATTTTTAATCGTTTTAACATCTGTACATGCCTTGAAGCTGATGATACATGCACAATATATTAGTTCGGGGCTTTGTAGTTTCCGAGAAGATGTTTTAAAGTTTTTTTACTTTGCAACTCTATGCATACTAAGTGACTCCCATGGCCGACCAATTTTTCACCAAAGGAACATGAATTATTATATAGAGGTCGAGTAGGTTATGCGGCATGCCAACTACCTAAGCACTGGTCATTAAAGTTACACAAAAGGAGACACAAATGTGTTTTCCGTTAAAAGTATATATAATCTAAATAACAAAGCGGTGGGTCCAAATGGAGACCTAGGGCGTGATTAATATAACTTATTTAGAAGACCACAATGTGATGCTTTATGCACATGTCGTAGCTCTTGGCTGTAGTTTAAGGGGAAATGTTAACATTTTCAAACATGATGAACAAGATCAACAAGGCTTAATTAATAATACACGTACAAGAATTGTTTAATATACGAGTCTACGTATGGTAATTGACCCAGAGGACAGGGTCAAAACGGCATGACTTAAATAATTCCGTAGAGATTTAACAGGCTGTGCTACATGCCTGAATATTTAGGTTCTTGGCATTGTTGTTTCTGCAAAGAAAGCTTATACATGTATGTATTTTCGTATAGAAGTCTATATAAATAAGTTGATGAAGGAGCGGAATATCATTTGCCATCAAAGTTATGGCTTACATAACGTTTAAATAGAGGATCATTCCGGCACATTATCTTTATCTTGCTATTTCTATATTATTAACAGAAGCTCGCTTAAATACATTTTCTCGCTACCGGATATCTTACCTTATATCTTCTTCATTCCGATATCAACCATGCATTCTGTATTTATTGCTGAGCATTCTAGTTTCTAAAAAGGAATTTTTGAAAAAGACTTTCTATTACAATTTTATGTAAAATAAGTGACCCCCAGGGCAGGGCCATTCTTAACCAAAATGGCATGACTTACACAGCTGTGTTGTAAAGGTCTACTAGGCAATGCTACATTACAAATATCTAAGATTTTGGCAACGCAGTTCTCTATACTTGAAGTTTTAAATGTATTTTATTTTCTTTAATAAGTTTATATACACTAAGTACCCCAATTAAGACCAAACATAATGATTTATATCACTATTGGCATTGTAGTTACCAAAAGGAAGTTTTTAAGACTTTATTGATATACACGTCTATGTAAACGACCTCTAAGACGGGCAATTTAGATATACATTCTGTAGAAGTCACGAACATTGCTGTGTTACTAAAGAAGACACACGTGTATTTTTCAATGTATGTCTATATAAACTAAGTGACCTTAAAGGGGCCATAGGCTGGACCAAGCTTGGCCCAAGGGACATACTTTATACTTTAATTTTATAACTTTTGTAAAGGACCACAAGGAAGAGCTACAGGCAAACTATCTAATCTTTTTAGATTATTGTCATTGTATGAGAGGAAATTTAGATTTCATTTTTATGTTATTTTTAAAGATTTTGTGACCTTATTCAAACATATTACAAAAACAACTTTCCTTAATATAATAATTTTATCTGTTTTTATTTTTACAGAGGTTGCAAAGCCGAAAGATGAAAGTTCAAGGTAAATAAATTCATCTTTTATGATTTTAAATAATAACTTGATGTTTTCTTCTTAAGTTATATCTATTAAGATAATGAGATATAAAAGTTACTTTAATGGTTATGGCTATCACGTACTATGCTGGTACTAACAGAACTGTCAACAATTTAGCTGAGTTTGAGTATAAGGTAAAAAGGAAACATCATTATTTGTATGTTGATCAGAAGCCTGTCTAAATAGTAAAATAATACGTTACATTGTCAAGCTAGCTGAAACTGAGTGAGGTTTTATATAACAACTAGAGTCTAAAAACTCTTATTTTTATTAAAAGAGAACAATAAATATCTTAACAAATTGATAATTGCCCAAAATCAAGTTCATGAATCATAGATTTAGAAAATTGTCAAAATCGATGTACTGCTGAATTAGTTTAAAAGAATACAAACATAGAATATTAAAAGTTATATTCATTAATTATTGCAAAGTATTTTGTTTAAACATCCGCCAGAGAAAATACAAATTTATTATTCAAATATAAACTATCCTACTCTGTTATGATAAATTAAGATTTTAAAGCGGGCGCCGAGATGTCCTTTCCGAAATCAAAAAAAAATCCTTTTCTTTTACACATATGTGCAATCTTTAATAAGGCATTGTTCAGATATACTTGAAGCTTATGGTCTTAAATTCATATAAGTGTGGTTTTAAAGACGGTTCTAGGGGCGTAAGGGATGTTGCATTTATTCATTATCTCTCATGTACATACTCATTCAAACCGAGCCTCCAATTTTCATGTACTTTTGTTGTGATTAATGCTTCCGAGGGATCACTTTGCTTCCAGATTTTTATACTTCACAACAGCAGGTATCAAGTGCTGTGTGGCAGCTGTAAAAAGTTGCCCCGTTCTTCACTTTAGTATTATAATATTTTTCTGGTCCTTCGGGATCATTGATGCCAGCATTATTAAGTGTTGAGAATTGAGTACCGCTCAAGCCGGTGCTAGAGGGCATGTTGGATGTTGCACTTATTTATTATCTCTCAAGTACAGACTCAATCAAACCGAGTCTGCAATTTCCATGTAAATAATGCTTTCGAGTAATCACTTTGTTTCCAGATTTCAGATAAAAAACTTTGAAACAAAAAATTTAATAGTTCTAGTTAAGTATTTTTTTTATTTTTATTTGATAAAATAGTTATAAAAATTGATCAAGAAATAAAAAAAATAAGTAGGGGCAACGTTTTTTTTACTGAATTTCGGAGTGTGGTTTTCAGAAGGTAACCTGACTTGGCAACGAAAAATTAAATACGTCTAATTAATTTTCAATTTTAATGCACCTTTCCGGTGTTTACAGTTTTATGTATTGGCTAACTTGTTATCCAATCGCTACACTGAGATATAGAGAATAACAGGTTACTGTCTTTTGAGAAAGGGTTTTCAGCAAAGTCAATTAAACAATACCAGCAATAAACATCATCAGTGCTGATCTGGCGTAGGAACATAGTGTTGTCAAGTCACTGACTGAGAAAGGTTGCTGTTCTCAGACAGGCTTTATCAGGCAGTTGTCATAGTAATGGCATGATAAAATACATAGTCACTGGTTGACCTGGTTTGCACAAAAGAACACGTGGTTATGTTTGTGAGCAGTTGACCTAGCAATGAATGGAAAAGGTGTGGCTAAATGTTCCGCTACAAAAAACCGGAATGGTCCATTAAGACACCTTATGAAGAGATCTTTAATTTGAATCCAAAATGATCAAAACTGATAAAGAAGCAAAAACATGTTGGAGGGGACGCCGTGTTTTTCTTACGTACCGATTTTGAGAGGAAAAACAGATACACTTTGAAAGAAATTTTTAAAACATTTACTTAATTTATTTATATTTCTAAAGGTTCACAGAAAGTTTATGAAGTAATCTTTCATGTGATACCAAAATTGATTACAAATAAAAAATGTTAGAAGGGGCGCCGTGAGTTCATTGTTTATTGAAACATAGTGGAGAGTGTCCAGAAGTTCGTAAATATTCAGTGAAAGAAATGCAGGACGTCATGCTTGACTTAAAATAGTTTAAATTTGTGAATCTACATTTGAGCCGTGTCATGACAAAACCAACATAATGGGTTTGCGACCAGCATGGATCCAGACAAGCCTTCGCATCCGCGCAGTCTGATCAGGATCAATGCTGTTCGCTTACAAACTCTATAACAAGTAGAGAAACTGATAGCGAACAGCATGGATCCTGATCAGACTGCGCGGATGCGCAGGCTGGTCTGGAACCATGCTGGTCGCAAACCCATTATGTTGGTTTTGTCATGACACGGCTCATTTGTCATTTTTTTCACTTTTAGCTCACCTGTCACTGATCTTTTGTGATGGCAATTAAAGTAAGAAAAAAAAACTTCAAAAATCAAAAACCTAATCCAATTAATGAGCTAGAGCTTAGATATGTAACACAAAATAGCTTCGAGTGGCTCTCTACAAAGTTTGTTAACAAAAAGCCCTGGGGTCAAAAGTGGCGCGCCCAAGGCTCATTGATTTTCCTTATATGCATATTATACATGTAGTATAAACAAAACAAGATGTTTTTCTTTCAAACTATAAATAAAGCTTACATGTTTGGTATGAAACATAGCAATCATTAACATCAATGACAACCACTAACTTGCCATAAAAAATCAGTGACTTTCATAGCAACCAGCGAATTTACATAGCAACCATTAACTTTCCATTCCAACCATCGACTTCCATAGCATCAATTGACTTTCCATAACAATATAGACGTTCATAGCAACCAGTGACTTTCTACTGCAACCATTGACTTCTATAGCAACTAGTAACTTTCAATGGCAACAATATACTTTCAAAGAAACTAGTGACAGCCCATAGCAACCAAAGACTCTTGTAGCAACCATTGACTTTTCATAGCAACAATACACTTCTTGAGCACCTAACGACTTTTCGTAGCATCCAGTACCTTGTCATCGCAACATTGGACTTTCCATACGAACAAGTAACATATTTTGCAACAATTTAATTTCAAAAGTAACCACTGAATTTCCATAGCAACCACTGACTTTCATAACAATCATAGTCTTCCATAGCAACCGGTGACTTTCTGCAACAACCTTGTGTTTTCATAGCAAATAGTGACTTCAAATAGCAATTAGTGACTCTCATGGCTCCATTAATTGTCCATAGCATCCACTAGGTTTCCATAGCAATCATTGACTTTCAATAGCAAACATTGACTTCATTAGCAACCAGACACTTTCCATAGCATCAATTGACTTTCATTAGAACCAGTGACTTCCATAGCAAACAATGAGTCACATAGCAACCATTAACTTTCAGTGGAAACTGATGACTCACATAACAACTATTTACTTTCCATAACAGCAGATGGCTTTCATAACAACCAGTGACTACATAACAGTAATTGTCTTTGCAATAGAAACAAGTGACTTCCATGGCAAACATTGTTTATTTTACATAGCAGCCAGTGGCCAGTGACTTTCAGACTATAACAACAAGTGCCTCTTCCATTGAATTTCATAGCAGTCACTTTGGAGATCACTTATTTTGTTTAGAAACCAATGACTTGTTTAGTAACTATTGTTTTCCCTTAGCAATAGCAACCAATAATGTTTTTTCACGTGCACTAATGACTAATTCAGATACAATTATGCACTTTATGTTATCATTGTAAGATTTAGATAATAGATCTATATCTGTTTTTGTTTACAATATTACTTGTGCCTTGTCATTAAAATTATTTAGGTGAGCGATATAAGGGTCATCATGGCCCTCTTGTTCATAATCCCAACTCTAACACTCCACGTTTTGTCACTATAGACAAAGAAGAAAAAAGCGGTGTTAAATTGCCAATAAACACTGGTTAGGGACTACTTGTATATGCGGCTGTAATGTTTTCATCCTCCATTACATAGTTTACATAGCCTTTTAAAGCAATTTATTTATATTTTCTCTTCATAAAATACCGAAATAATATCTCACATACACTAACACCACATATGTGATCCATATCAGTTAATAAATATTTTGACAAAACGCCCATTCTAAACGCCCCCACAGAGTAACACTTTGACAACACGTCAACATTACTACCTCCATCATCAATGTAGAAAGCTTACTCATTCTTACTACACAATGATAAATCGAACTGATTTTAAACACAATTACACGGTCCGTATAGCGACATTTACCAACATCACTTTTCCGACGACATAGTGTCAAAATTCAATGTCTGCCCATCGACTGTACATAGTTATGGCAGTGTGTTTTCTAATCGAATTTATCACATAAGGCACGCAGAGTTATAAACATTTACTAACATGCATATACCTTTAATCAAACTTTTGATATTCATTTATCGATATTTGAAACATTATCGTTAATACGCGCAAACTTAATTGCGCGTCAAACAATTACTATTTCAAAGAATTAGTGTTTAATAAAAGATCATGTGTGACCTCTAATTATTAACTCGTTGTACTTATGCTCAAGCTCGAATTGTTTTTTTGCTATGAAACCCTCACAAATCCCTTATATGTAATGGTTAAGCATAAAATAATGTTCCACACAAAAGAGTGTGTTTCCATTGTAAATTTTTGGGAATATGTGATGCAAAATGTCTAACTGAGATGCCGCACAACACGGAATTCTAACACCGCATTTTTATTCCGTTTGACTGAAAATATCTGGCTTTGTTTTCCTTCAAATTAAATAACACATTCGATGGAATGAATAATTCGATGATTTTACATTGTTTTATGTAAATTATCAATCTGTTTTTTGTCGTATGCAGTCTTGACATCCGTTTTGTATGACAGAAAGATACGGTGTCTCGGCAGAAGTATGGTATTTTGACGTTGCGCGAAAGTTGTTTGGTAAACGCCTTATCACCAAATGCAATACAATTCATTCTAAGACGTAAGATTTTATTGTTGAAAACTTTTTTCTTATTATTTCTTTTGTTTAATAAGTCTATATATTAGCAACAGTAGTATGCGAAAATCGAACAGCGTTATAAAAAAAATCGGCACTGGAAGCTATTTCTGCTTAAAAAAAAACAACAGTGATCTTCCTTATTTTATCGTGTTAGAATCGAAAAAATATTGGTCTTAGCGCTGT